GTAGTTCTAAATTTGTGCAGACAGTACACGGAAGAAAAGCTTTCGATTGAAGAAAGTATATACATTTTTCAGGTCATTTCTTCTGATGTGTGATGTGATATTCTGTAGGGTTTGGTCCTCTTTCTCTGATATGGAGGGCGCAGTTGGTGAAATCACAATGTTACTTAGATGAGAATTTATGTAAGATTGAAAATAGCGACTTGACATTATTGTGAACATAATATTGTGAATCTTAAAAGAGACTTAAATAAATATAAATTAATGCTCATAGGAATTAGACCTAGTGTTAACTTTAATAAACAAATTCTACAGGTGTTTCTGTATTTAGTATTGTTTCATATTTAACTATTAAGATATTTTCCCCAGGTAGGAGTTCATTTTCCATACCTCTGCATTAAATGTGGGCTTATGGATTAACAGGACAGTAGAAGCAGAAAAAGGTATTGCTTCAGAATTTCAATATTAGCTAGTTAAAATAATTTTGTCTCCCTTCTATAAAGCAAAAAAAAACCCCTAAAATTTTGAATTTCCCTTCTCCATACATTGAGGTGCATACATTATATTTGTCATTATTCTCAGATTAAGTTTGGCAAACCACATTTTCCCTATTCCAGGCACTAAAATCCATTTGAATGGCAAGCTCGTGAAGCTTTTTCACAGGCAATTGCTCAGGGCTGGGTGGGGTTCAGTGAGATCACAGGCTCAACATATATGGGACACTGGCCTCAGTTCCTCCACTGAAAAACTGATAGGGGGCAAAAGTACTTTGACATATGTGACTTCCAGTTTCGGATTGTGTGAAAACTAAATACTAGCCATATGGAAACTCATTAGAGTACTGCTTGCTTCGGGTCAGGAAATATTTCAACAGTTTTTCATTTCACATTTTTATTTCTGTGTCTCAGGAATGCACTAATCACAAACATAATTTTATCTACAGTTATGAAAAAGTAAAAACTTTATTGTAGTAAACAGTATCTGCAAGGTTGTCGCCAGAGGGGCATTTTATGGTCTTTGCATTGAAGCTGTCATTTTAAGAAAGATATGTAAATCCAAATTTCACATGTGGGTAGGATCTACTTGCTCCTGCATTGGTTTGACTAGTGACATTATGTTGGTACAAGCATGTTCAACGTTTAGCATTAATTCCACTTTCTTTGAATGTATCTATCTGGAATGAAGACAAGTGTTTCCTCTGTACAAGAATTGTTTTGACAGACAGGCATAGAAGAGGGAGCAATCTATCCTTGTGTCTCACTGGAGATTTTTCCCCACACTTCTTCACTGTAACTAGGAATGAGTAGACAATGAGGATGTAGTTCATGTAAGACATAAGAATTAGGTGCAGAAACAAAACCAATGATATTATTAGGATAAAGGTCATATTACAGCATGGAATAGAGAGAAGAAGTGGAGGTCCTGAAGCATTGCATTTCCTTTCAAAACCAACCTGTGTTCACTGCAAGTGGTTTTAAATGGATCTTATCTTTATTGTATGGCATAGGCTCAGACAAGAGATAGACAAAGCAACTAAGAACTAATGAGCATTGTGGATCCAACGTAGGTGCATAGGAAATCTCTTTCGCCTTTACTGGCCAGTAGCATTTGTAAAGTGCTACTTCATTCCTATGAATACACTAATGATATCACCCAGAAGCAACTCTACAATTTTTTCACATTTACTCAAAAACAAATCTGTATTAATAATTCCAGAGTAGTTAGTACTTAGTTTTCTGTGACAATCTATGCATTCTTTATTCTTAGAGGAGTAATTGAAAACAGGGTAAGCAACATTGATGTAAGTTGTTTAAAATTATCTCTGTACTACTATTCATTATGAAATTAAAAGACAAAGAATGCAAGACATTACTAATTTAGCTAAAGATAATGGCTCCTTCAATCAGCACATAGTTCTAACATATCTGCATTTTTCTCTTGTTTTGCTATTTAAACTTAAGTTTGGAAGTTTGGAGGAAACTGAGTCACAGTTTTGAAACTTCTTCAAAAACAAAATCTGAACATTTGAGCAAAGGAGATATGAATTACAACAGGCAAGTGAATTACATTTTTTTAAGAGAAAGAAAATTAATATCAAAGCATTAATAGTTGTAACCTTTTACTGGTTTTAAGCAGACACAAGAAGAGGACAGAAGCAGCAAGAACACTAATTATCTGGAAATAGCTCTCAACATTTTACCAGACTCAAGGATTTGAATTTATCTTGGGTTTCCCACCTCCCAATCCTTTCAGATAATTTAACAACTTAAGACATACTTCCTTTTAAGTCTTAATCACTACCAAACGATACTTTGATATACTATGACATCATTAAGTGACAAAATTAGTCGATTCTAAATGAATATGATTTATCCTCCTTTTGGCTGTTAAGAGTTATAAAGATATTTCCTTTTTCGGATACAATGAAATGTAATAAGAAGTGGCACATACATTATTTTGACAGTATAAAAATCAGTGTAAACTAGGCAAACCACATGTCATTAAAAGACAGGTAGTTGCATATGGCTTGGACACTAAACATACGAAGGAGTTTGACATGCATTTCTGGTTTTGTTGTTGTTGTTGTCGCTTTGTTTTACTTTTTAGCTAGTAAAAGACTTTAGCCTCTGCTCACAAACTTCACAGGGATGCCACAGCAGAGCAGAACACAAGCACCTCCCTCGAGAAAGAGAAGCTCCCTTTACCTTAAGTATCTGGAGGACCCCGACATGGTCTCACACGTCAAGACATAAAGCTCCCCCTTACACTATTAAACTCACCAGTATTTTCACACATATATTCTCTTCTTCAAGGGCCATTGCCACTGCCACAAGCCTGAAGGCAGCTACATCTCATTAACCTTGTTCTTGGGTTATAAGCCTTGTCTTCACTGTCAGCATCTCAGTGGGGGGCATCTGTCATAATGCAGCTACATTGTCATTTTAAACATTTAACAAGATTCTCTCTCTCCCTCTCCCCCTCCATCCCTCCTCTCTTCTCTTCTTAGAAACAATTGAAGATGACTCTTACAGCTGTGATAGACTGTTGGCACAGTTTTAACTAATTTTTTTTAAGTTTTGAGAGTTCGATTAGGAGCATTAGAATTCAGTAAGTGTTGATCTGCAACTATGCATGCTTGCACTCCATGACAAAGTACTTCTGACAATTTTTTCAGCTGATAATTAACATTCAATTAAGTAATGAAAACTGACAATTATTTTCCATGTAACCTTAGATGTTCTTCCCTTTTCTGTAACTATATTGACACTAAATATCATTCTTGATGCTAATTTCTTATCTCTTGAGAGAGCTGATTTTTATTTATTATTGTAGACAAACTTCTCTTAAGATGTTCAATCATTCCCCTCAGGTAGCAGCAGCAGTATGCTACAGAAATACAAAAGCACTGAGCTAGGGGTGAGGTCAGACTCCAGGGTGTGTGGGTGTGTGAGTGTGGGGGAGTATATTCCATCACAAGAAACCCAAGACCAACAGTCTGTCTGTAGCCTGCTCTGCCAGCATCCTGAGCCAGAAGCTACACCTTCTCATGTGTTTCAGCCCAACTTCAAACGTTTTTGCTAAGGAACATTGAGGAGCGACTGTGGCAGATCAAAGCCACCGTCATTTCAAGTGAGAGCCCCATGCTTCCATTTTATCTGCACCATTTTCAACTCTTCCACAGCAACTTCAAGGCAACTTAAACTAGTTCAGAATCTTTATGTTTCGGCAGCCGTGTTCCTGAAAGATTACCAGAGCCACTCCTAGAAATGCCATGTGTGAGCCTCTTGTAGGATTAGGCGCTGGTGGCTAAGCGTAGGTTAAATAGAACCATTACAACCCATCTGGTCCTGTCCTATTATGAAACTAGTTCCTAGTCAATTCATAATTCCTTTCATCTGAACCAACTGAATCTCACAATGCAAGACCCTTCCCTTTGCGCTTTGCTTTCCACTGGCATCTGTGTATTTGAGGTTTTTAATATTTTTGTTTATTTTCTCTTCCCTAATTAAGTGAAAAAAGCTGAATTATATGATCATTATGAGATCAGCTCAGGATTTATGATACTTCTAATTTTTCTTTAAGGAGTTAACCCTTCTGAGCCTGGTGGCAGTGTGCAAATATTCCTTTGCTGCGATTTTCCCCTTTCGCTTTTTAACCCACATATCCTTGTCGATGATAGTAAAAAGATAAGAGGAATTGTGGGTTTCCAGGTCAAAAGTTTCAGAACCTGCGTTAATAATCCTCCCCTTCTCTCTGGGTTCCCCATAACCTTTCCCCTCTGAACTTCTACCGTACCCAGCTTTTTGATGAAGAGCAAGCGCAAAGTGCTAGGCTAGATGGAGTCAGACTCTCCATTCCATAAGGCTATCAAGGTACCCTGGTCCTGGGTCACAGACCTTCCCCCATCAGAAAAGGCAAGTTCTAGCAGTGCTTGAATAGTCTCAGAAAAAGCCCTCAGGAGCTTCTCTGCTAGCCACCCAAGCCAAGCCAACCCCGCAAAAGGCGACAGAGCCTCTCCGGGAGGGAGAGAGCTCTGACACCTCTCCCCAGATGCACAGCTGAGGAAGTCAACCAGGAGCTAAGTTGGGAGAGTAATTGTCTATGGCGGATAATCAGGAGGCTAAAGCTCTCAGCTGAAAGCAAGCGCCAAAGGGAGTCTAAAAGAAATGCAAATTCCGATTCAACATCGGCAGCGCTTGGGATGCCCGGGCAGAAGCCACTGGCCAAGTACAAATGCTCCCGGGGGGAAGAGGGACATACAAAATCAGGACCCGAAAATGACAAGGGTAAAATGTGCGGGCAGCGGTACACTCTGGCTCCTAGTTCAGAAACCCTCCAATAACCTTCTCCCCCCAGGAGGTTAGCGCACAGTGGCCAGTGGGTCCCGGGAGCGGGGAGCGGGGCTGCCAAGGACTTAAGTTTCACACTCAGTTGTTTGCCAGTATCACCTAGCAGGAAAGCCAAAGGAGGAAACTGCGAAAGTGGGGGGTCGTAGCCCTTACCTTGGTCAGCTCCCACAGTCAGCACCTTGGCGTTAGGCAATAATCCCGAGAGAGTGAGGACAGCGAGAAGCAATTGGGACATGGTGATCTTCCCGGTGAGCCTGTGCTGCAGACTGCTCGGCGGCACCCTCGGCCCGGCCGCGGCCGCTGGCAGCCTGGAACTGAGCCACGTCATTTACAAATGTCACTGGAAATCCCTGGGTCGGTGGGTCCAGCCAGTCCTTCTTGCTCTGCCAGGAGCAGGATGTGGAAGGTGTGCGGAAGCGCGCCTGCGGAGAGCGTGCGAGCGCCAGCCAGGCGCTGTATGTCTGGACTTTTCGATGCAGGGGTACGTCTGATCTTACATCACGCAAGAGGGGCAGAGAGATGCCCGCCGATGGGAATTCACTATTAATCACCGAGGCCTCAGTACACCCATCCGTCGCCCACAGAAATCACATCTATTACTAGTAAGAGGCGGTTAACACGACAGGGAAACAGCCGCAAATATCACTGCTCTTTCAGCCTCCTCGAAGAGAAAGTAACTGCTCGCTCTTTCTGTAGGGATCTGGGTCCTTAGCGAAGGGGAGACTGCAGTGGGCCAAACCAGCCAGACGCCAGAAAGCATCTCCAGCCAGCTGAGAAGTCCCGCTCTTGCGCCTAGCAAGCCGCTTCTCAGGCAAAGCAGATTTGATGCTTGGGCTGCAGTAAGGAAGCTTCCTTCCAGGGAAACCAACGCACACCAGGACCTTGTTTCTCTTAGGGAAATGGTTTCCTCCACTTGACAGCTCGCAGAGCTTTCTCAACTACACTTGTAACTTTTATGCTGAGTGGCACCTGGGGACAGAGCAGCAAAATTAGTGACTCAGCAGAAAACAAAACCAATGTTCCCAAAGTCACTAACCATCACACACACACACACACACACACACACACACACACCAACACCACAAGGCAAGGGAAGTGCAAACAGCCATCCAGGTCCCCAGGCACATCATATTAAAGCAGGGTTTTGCATGATTTTTCTGTTTAAAGGAATTCTTCAAGTCATTTTAAGCTTTTGAGGTGGTTTTTGTGGTTTTTTTTATTTCCTATACTGCACGGACAATCTGGGAACTTTCTGAAACCATGAGATGTATTGAAATGAGTATATGGAACATTTACACACATATGCGTGTGGTGCACCTACTACACAGCTCAAGTTGATTTTGTGATCATTTGAGAATCACAGTGATAATTCTGGTATTTAGATTTAATCCGACATTCAGAAATGACTGGCTAAAACTTCAATATCTGAAGAGTTGAAAGCTGACTTTCTTTATAGTATTATCAGCCATTGCCTTTCTATGGAAAATATCTGACATTTTAATATTTTAAAACCAGATGCCACATGAAGTGACCAATGCCTTTAATATCAACAATAGAGGCAATGGCTGGTAGATCTCTGAATTCGAGGCAAGTGAGAAGACAGCAGGGCTTACACACACACACAAAAGAAAAAAAAAAAACTCCTGTCTTAAAAAAGAAAACTGAAAGAACAAAAAACAAGTCAAAAGGTACTTAGAGGAGCAATATGGTAAAGACTTCTTGCATTGCCAGATTTGAAACTTAGACATCAATGGGAGAAATTTGTCCTAAAAATGACCATAAAATTCTCGGGAGCCCAACTTTGGACAATCCAGAAGAGAAGCCATTAAGATTAAACAGAACCAAACTGTGGGAAGCAAACTTGGGAAATGCAAAGCCAGGCATCTGGAAGAAGGGTCTTTTCATCCTTATACTCCGGTCATATGTGCAACTCTTCTGCCACCCTCTCCGTAGTGAAAAATTTCACTTTTAGTTTGCCTTTTGAATTTAGTTATTCAGGTCACACGACATGTAATATTTACAAGTATATATATATATATATATATATATATATATATATATATATTCCCCCTCTGGTTGTTACACATAATGGCCCCAAGATTTCTTTCAGTTTCTTAATACTACGCACCCAATAGTTTAAAATTTCCACAAACTTAGGAATAAATGATGAAGTTCCAAAGAATGGGAACTGCGAATGTAAGGCAGTGTCTCTCAAGGGTCCATAAGACATCTGCAGTCTATGGAATTATCCACTGGGATGGACTGGGTGTGTGTGTCTCCTACATAATCTCAACTAGGCAACTATGGCAAAAGCTACAATGAAATTTCCACCATCACCCCATGTCTCTGCAAAAGGGGGGAGCACCCAAGAGCCATGCTGAAGACATCAGACTCTGTCTTCCATACTCAACACGGAGACAAGGTGGCAAAGGCAGACAGGTAGAGGCTCCACATTCTCTTGCTAGGCAACTGCTCTTCAGCCTCTGCAAACTTGGAGGCTTGAAAAGGGAACTCTGGGAAAGGTAGTCAGGTGAAATCGCAGGAGATGCTAAGGTTTCAGCATGCTGCACTCCGAGCAGGCAGCACTCCAGAAGAATGAACCCAGCAATGCAGGAACAGATTGAACGAAACACAGACTGTCTCAGACCATTTGACCTACATTTTTTCTCCCTTAAATGAAAGAACTTGAAACTGTACTGCCCAAACACAAAGCAGTAGAGCAAAATAAGAATTTTTAAAGCAATTAAAAAAAATCAAGCCATCAATTGTGAATAACACATAACTCAAAACAGTGCTACAACCAATACAACACATTGAGAAGTTCAGGTGTGAGGAAAGTGGGCTTGCTGATGCAGGGAGCGGGTTGTATCTGATTTCCACTGAGACTGTGCTCCCACTAAGCATTAATGGGAAATACAAGAGGAGACATTTTAGTGTAAGACAGAAAGTGGATGTGATTCCAATGGCACTAGTATCTGAAAAACTCCTCCAGCTGTTAGTTTGACAGGCGTTTAGGAATACGGCACAGACCCTGCACTAAAATGCTTGTTGGCAGTGGATGCTTTAGAAAGGGGGTTTAGACTGGAGACCCAGTAAATACACATGACCAGTTCATTCAGAACATATAATAAGCAGATCAAATAGGGGGCGGTGGAATTTCCTTGCATCAGAAAGTTACATAAGGCCAGTTTTGAAGTGACATGAAAAGCGATTGCCTACCTCACCTCAGAGCACTTGCACAAAGTAGTTCTTCCAAATGTCTACTGAAAACAATCAATTTATCACAGGAGATGGTTGTTATGAGCTCTGCTGCCACTCACAGATACCCAGAAAAAAGTTGAACTTAAATTAAATAACGTATGTCTAGCTTTTAAGTATTCAGCTCATTTAATATATTATAAGTATAAAAGTAACATAAACATAATTTTCTATAAATTCTTTTATTTCTCCATAATATATTCTCATGGAAAAGAAAATGAATAACAAATATGTTATTGGTGGAGACAAAATCGTTAGCTACTATTTTTAGTCTTGTAACTCATTATAATTTCATTACAATCAGATATTAACATTGACAAGTCAAATAAATTCTTATCAAGCTATAGGATACAATATACTTTCTCAATGAGACAAATGAAAACATAACCAGTCACTCTTTATAGTTTGTGACTATACGTGACTATTGACTGTCAGTCAGTGGTAATGCTACTTTGTCTTAGAGCCACCTGTCCGTTTGTGATGAAACACTACATTTCTTTTCTGCTCTTTATCATTGGGGATTCTTTACTATCCAGGTATCATTTTATAAACACCAACCATCTCAGTTGTGAGTGAAGGAAAAGAGTCTTATTTAAACAACACACTGAGTCTGACCACCTCTCACTAGAGAGGGATATGCAGGAGAATGTGCCCCAAAGTCTGGGTTGCTAGGGGGCTAAGGATTTATATAACCACTGTCCCTGGGTACTGAAATTCCCTCACTCTGCCTCTCCAGAAAGAAACCTTGCCAAGTTGGTAGGAACAAGTCAGGAAGAAGAAGGAGGGAGACGCAGAAGGATATAAGAGAAATTATCTGTTATCACATCATTAATGCTTTAAAATGAAAAATCTAAGTTAGAAGTTGAGATTTGTGACAGCTTATAAAGGGTGGGTTTTTTAAACGTCACCCATGTTAGTGGTCCCATCAAACGTGTACTCTTTTTGATAGTTTACCTGTTCAACTGGGATTTGGGGATTTGATTGAGGTAAATAAGATTTTGATGTATCTTAATTGCCACCATTTACCAGTTATTCAGAGTTACCTTGAAAAGTGAAAATTTGGCCAAATATCTCTAACCTTGCCTTCTCTTTATGCCTCTGTTTCTCTTTGCTGACGTTTTTGTAAATATCTTAAAATAGACTATAGGAAAAGCCTAACTGAATGGCAGCCATGGCTTTTGAAAGACAAATAATAAAGCTTTTAGGACACATTTGATCTCTTTAGATTTTCCTTGACTCTTGGTGGACCGACTCCTAACATCAGGAAGGGTAATTTGAAATATTAAAGATACACCATAATTCTTCTCTTCATAGTATATTTCATAGCAATATAGCTTTCAGATACAAGTCCTATTTAACATTTTGATACATCGTTAGAAGGCACAATGCGTCATGCCATGATTCATATGTGGATCTCTCAGAAATGTAAAACGTTTACCAAAGTTGCCACTCCACTCGTGAGGTAGCTGCCCTGGGGGTTCAGGTCGGGGATTCATAGGCAGACTGCTCCCTGGCTGCTTTTAGACACAGCCTGACATGCCTGTAGCACTGTTTTCTCTCTCCCAAGCTGGACCAAACTTATTGAGGCCTGTTGAGGGAAGTCTGCCAGTGGTCCAGGGTAGGGAACACTTTTTATGTGGCTCTGTGGCATTGTTCTGCCCAATTTTTTTGGCCTCTGTTCTTTTACTCATCATGCTTCTACTCCTAAATTATAATTTAACAAATAACTTTGAAGGCGGCTGAAGGGAAAGGAACATTCAAATCATCTATTGCAATTCACCACATTCATCTAATGAGAATGTTAGACGGAAAAGTGCGCACTCGGAGATCACATATCTTACTAATGGCAGAATTTGCCCTTGAATATTATTCCTAATTACTAGATTACATAATCACTTTTATTCATATTCCCTTAGAATTTTCTCCTTTAGTGGGATGGAAACTTGGAGGGCTTGAGTTTATTCACTCAGCAGAGCTATGCATGTGCTAGACAGTCACTCA